GGGGGGGGGGGAGGGGAAACTTTTTCAACCATGGACCAGCAGCCATGCAGATTTATTGGAACAAAAGAAAAGAAAAGGGTTCAGCTCCCGTAGAAATTTTTCCGGTACAGGTTTGATTTGGTAGACCAACATGGCCGCCGTTTCATTGTTTTGGTACACATGTACAGTGACGACATGTGAAAACGCTCCATAGGCCCTGGAAATGACGCAGAAGAAGGCAGTGTGGCCGAGTGGTTAGGGCGCCGGACTTGAAATGCGGAGGTCGCGGGTTCAAGTCCCGCTCTGACCACTAAGCTGGAGTTGTTTCTTGGCAGACCCTAGTTCAACTCCGGTCCTCGATCATGCTTGCAAATAGCCAACTAGTCTGCCTCCTGCCAGTTGGGACTTTTAAGCCTGTTATATTAAGTTGATATATTTGTTTATTTTAGTTTAAGTGGCATGCATGTGAACTAGCTAGGTTCACATTACTATAAACAACAACATTTGAACAACATCTGAACCACATTTTTGAACATTTTGATGCCATACACTAGTTTGCGGTCGAGATTTTTACTTGAGGTTTGATCATTGAGTCATTTCTACGGCCTATTTAATAATAGGACTACGAGCCCGGGTTTTCTATGAGCTAATAGTGATCGAGGATTAGCCGAGTTAACTATCGCTGATAAAAAACGATGGCGAGCTCGAGTAATCTAATTGTTTTAGTAGACACTCGAAAGGATTACAGCGCAAAACCTACAACTATGCGCATCTTTAAGCCTGAAAGAATAATTTTCAGTTTCAAGAGCAGCCGGGTGTGCACGATCATTGTCTGTAACTAAACAGAAAACGACAAGAGAACCAATCAGATTCGCGGATTTCGAAAAGAACACAGCTGAGTGGCTACTAAAAAAATGTGCACTACGGCAAAATATGGTTGATTTGTCAACAAGATAATGGATTCGGTCAAAAAACGCTTTTAGTTTAAATCTGACCTCTGCAAAATTTAATGATAGCATGGAAATGGGTGAAATTTCATTAACAATAAGAGCACCACCATCCAGATTCTTATAAATCATTCACTCAACTCGAAGTTGATCAAAATCATTTTGTTCAATTCTTAGATAAATACAAGTTTTAAGTTTACTGGCAATTGATTTTTGCAAACAACATTCCTAGCTTTATAGTGTCGAAAATCATTGTCTATTTGTACAATCAAGCCCCGTTTGTACGGACGCCTTCCAATGCAGCCATTATTTTGGTTGTCACGCAACGTTCCTCTCCTACCA